ATGCAATATTATTTATCAAGGCCATGAACCCACACGAACCTGCCTTAACCCAAGGCCTACGATGATTCAGACCGAACCGGCAACCCGACCCTGGGTCCCAGCTCGTCCCAAGCCAACCCAGGCCAACCATTCCACATTTTAGTTGTTAAGCAGGTTTTTAGAATTAAAACACTAATTTGGGTACATTGCTCGGCTTGCCCATAACCGAGGGCGCGGCTATTCGAATAGATTATACTCTGATTAGAGGTGTACATCTTTACCCACAAGACACATCTTCCTCACGTGTAACCACGTGCCACATACCACCATGGTATACGGACGGAAGACATGACATAGTTTCCAACCCATCCTAGCCATAGACAAGAGTACCGACCCAATCCCACCTACGGCCGGAACCCCCGGGACAGGCAGGCAGGACTGAGCCCCTAGCAGCAGGACACCGGCCCTGTGCCACGACATCTCGACTACCGGGCCGCAGCTCGTGTAGCCTTCATTTGCCCTGGAGATGTCCATCGACCCCCGACTTCGTCCATCTCCATCCGTGTACTTTTGTTTATAACCAGACTGAGCCACAAAGTAAGCCTTACCCACTAGACATGTGGAAGTACGGTAGTGCTTTGCAACAGAGGCCCGAAGACCGGTCCTTATATGGCCGAGGTGCTACTATCAAAACCATGCACCCCGAGCCCAGCCTAAAACCATTTTGGGGATTTTGAATAGAGGGGGCGGTGTGAATCCAATTCCACAATACTCCAACAATTCCAAAGTGTCCAGGTGATATGAATATCCCAAAGTCTAGAGTTGTAAAACCGCCTAATGTTACCTAATTAAGTAGCGAAGCATCTCACTCCCTATCACCCAAACAAACTCAGCCTAAGAAGTTTTAGGTTATCTCTAAGTTAAACTTTTCATTTTTAACTAACTTTATACAAAAATATAGTAGCATCGATAATACCAAGTTAATATTATTAAATTCATCGTAAATATATTTCCTTAGTATATTTCTTTTGTGTTGTAAATGCTACTAACTTTTCTACAAATAAACATGATTAAATTTAAAAAGTTTGTATTAGGATAAACCCTAAATGACTTATCTCTACTAACTGAATTTGATTGCTCAATATTCGATTATTCTTTTACCTTTGAAAGAAGAGGCATTGTCCTCGTCCCCACTATTGTAGTCCCCACATAAAAAAACTACCCGAAAAAACCAGCCCATCCAAAAAAAACAACCCACCAAAACACAAGATATAAAAGACAGAACCCTATAAAACATGTGCATGACACTAGTAATATAAACACGGTGGAGTAGTAGTTACCATGGAGGGCCCTACATAAATAAAAAAACAGATCAAACATGATTCACGCACCACGAATGATTAACTAATCCACATCAAAATAACTATTTCCTCCGGATTGATAATACTTGTCGTTTAGATAAGGGCACGGTCTTCAAAAAAATAACTTTGATCATTATTTTTTATTATAATATGTATAAAATTGTTAACAAATATATGATTTTATGAAAGTACTTTTTAAAACTAATCTATACATATAGTCACCATATTTGAAAGATAAATATTTTAAAAATAATTCATAATCAATGATTCTAAAGTTTGATCTAACCCTTCTCTAAAATGACAAGTATTATCAGTTCGTTGGGAGTAAATCCTTATCTAATGTGCAACCAAAATCACCATTGGCTAGATATTTAGGCCCCTCCGAAACAGAGCAAAATCATAGGAATTCCAGAGAATTTCATATCATAGGAATTCCAGAGAATTTCATATGAGAATGGATCCTTTCGAAACAAAATGATTATTTTCTACCTATTCCTTTAAAAATCCTATGGAATGGATCATTCTAGAACATTTTTGAGGAAATTACGCATGAGGTCTTACCTCTGGTGTTTCTTCTTCATGTGTATAGAATTATTGTGTTTGTCATGTGAGCATTCAAACAACAATTTTAAACCTTTCAGTGTTTCGAAACACTATAGGAATCTAAAAAGTGTGGCATTCTACTCCTCATTTTTTTTCTATTCACGTGTTTTCTCAATCCTCCGTTTCAAAGTATCGTTACTTTTTTGCTAGCACATGAACTCGATCTTGGTTGCACTACTGCAGAACACCTGGTTGCAAACTTGGCATACATGCCGGTTTCGCAACTGACACCAATGATGCTAAGTCATTGGTGCCGTTGTAGAACTGGCACCTTTGTGCTCTCCCCATTTCATTGGTGCCGTTGTAGAACTGGCACCTTTGTGCTCTCCCCATTTCAAAGAAAAAAGGAGAAGCTGGCTCCAACCATCGGCTCGGCTTGATGAGGAGATGCTTTGGAGCCGCCCCTTCAAGCAACCCCTAATCCCATCCTTCACAAATCACAAATCAACAAACAATTCTCATTCCCATCCATCACAGATCAACAACAAAAATCCTCACCCCATCTTTCACATATCACAGATCATAGATCAACAACAACACAAGATCAAGAACTACACAAGCAAGATGAACTCACTCTCCCCGGTCCCACTGTCGTTGCCAATTTGTGTCACCGTCGGAGGAGCGATGTGGAGGTCATCGTTGGGGTCCCTCTCTGCGCCGAGGTCTCCACCAGGGTTCCTCTCCGCACCGAGGTTGCCGCCGTTAGATCCAGTGGCACGACGGGCGGCGACGCTAGATGCAGTGATGGGCGGTGGAGATGGATGTGGCGCAAAGGGAGGAGAGGATGAGAGAGAGAGAGAGAGAGAGGATAAGGATGGAGCAGATGCGCGAGGACTTGGTGGGGTTAAGTAGTGGCTCGTTTCAGGTTTTTTGAGGTGTCGGTTCTCTAAGAACCGATACCTACAATATATTATTATAGTTGTTGAAAGGTGTTGGTTTTGTATTTTTTTTCTTCCCATGGAGGTGAGAACGGTCAATAGGTGTTGGTATTATGAGCTGGTATGTATGAGGGTTTAATAGGTGTTGGTATTATGAGCTGGTATGTATGAGGGTTTTTTTTAAGTAGTGTTGGCAACTTGGCATAAAAGGTGAACGAGAATTTATTTTCCCTGCTTTCACATGGAAACAACTGAACACACAAACAATGTAGGGGGTGTTTAGATCTTGGGGGTGTTTACATCCAGGGGTGTAAAGTTTTGGCGTGTCACATCGGGTATTATATAGGGTGTTGCATGGGGTGTTCGGGCACTAATAAAAAAACTAATTACATAATCCGTCAGTAAATCGCGAGTCGAATTTATTAAGCCTAATTAATCCGTCATTAGCAAATGTTTACTGTAGCACCACATTGTCAAATCATGGAGCAATTAGACTTAAAAGATTCATCTCACAAATTAGTCACAATCTGTCAATTAATTATTGTTTTATCCTCTATTTAATACTTCATGCTGATGTTCAAACGTTCCATGTGATAGGATGTAAAATTTTAGGGTGGGCTCTAACCCGGGCCGTAATCTTCTGCCCAGTGGATACAGTTCAGTCAGTGTGATCATTATGCTTGTATGGACTACAAGGCACGCTGAGAACTGGGCTGCTGGTATCGCAATGGTTACAGTATGGTTCAGCCACCAGGCATAACCGATTCTTTGTTGATGTGGGAGTCTCGCCAAATGTCCTACAAATGAAAGTGCGTGTGCTTGAAGAGAGATCAAATTTGAAAAGTGACAAGACAGCGTTGGATTTCTCGGGTAGAGAAAGGTTCTTTCCTCTGTTTTTTTACAAAAATATCAGGTTTTTCCCTTTTCTGGAAAATTAACTTGGGGGCGAGAGAAGCCAGAACTCTCGACCTCAGGATATCTCCTTAACGTTCGGCAGCAGCACATTGTGTGAAAGTTATTTCGTTTTCCGCGAGCACGTTTTCCAAATTACTAAATGGTGTGTTTTTTTAAAAAAAAATTTCTATATGAAAGTTGTTTCAAAAAATCATATTGATACAGTTTTAATTTTTAAAATAATTTATATTTAATTAATTATGCGCTAATGGCTCACCTCGTTTTACGTATCTTCTCAATCTTCTCTTCTCTCCTCTCAAACTCAATGTTCCAAATAGTAAGAGAGATTGAGCCTCATTGATCACGGGGTTTACAATATATATGGGGGAGAGAGGCATGTTGGCAGGAGTGCGTGAGGGCCTGAAGACGTGGGGCACCACCGTGCCCCGGAGTTGGTTGCCGATCCATCCATATATATGGATGAGATCATATATCTTGTTTCATAATAGATTCAATCTATTTTCATCCCTACACATATTTTTTTATTGAAAGTCTATCTAGCAGCTTGAACTTTGAAATGAGATATCCAGCCCTCCGAACTACTATATAATATCGTTTATATTGCACCCTAGTGTAGTTTTTACAAAATGATTTTTATCTAATTTACATATATGTTGGATTAGTTTAACTAGGTGACATATGCATTGGAATTTGGACATATGTGTTAAAATCATCAGCGAAATCTTCTGTTTCCCCAACTTTTTGCTCTTAATTGCTTACAAAAGAATGCCCATATAATTCTAGTATGACAATACTATGGAGTATAAATTGGTCACATGTGATTTGACGATATGTAAACATGCTACATTAGTTATTTAAAACTGCTGATTTAAGGTTCCAAATACCCAAAACTACTATCCAAAAGCCACTATACTATATGATTGACGATATGCAAACATACTACATTAGTTAGCAGTGTTCTTTCCGCGCCCGCTTTTTAAACTGCTAAATGGTATGTTTTTTGTAAAAATTTTCTATACGAATGTTACGTTAAAAAAATCATATTAATCTATTTTTTAAAAAAGTTATTAAACAATTAATTAATCAAAGAAAATGCGTTGTTCCGTTTTACGTGCGCAGGAGGTGAGTTCCAAACTTCACCTCCCTAACACAGCCTATTTTTTTACGATGCTAGATAAACTTTTATCAAGTATATGTGGTACATAGACTTTTTCCTTTTTAGGCTGAGCTAAACAAGTACTTACTCGCCAGTGTAGAAAAATTATTTGGCATGGTCTGAATTTCGTGAATATCGGCGATTTTTCATCATGTCCAAACAGTTGGGCGAACAAATTTTTTGCGGAACCCTAAGAACTACTGGCTACTGTCAACTTGCCAATTGAGCTATGGAGATGGGGAAGAAGTGAAATTAGCTTCCGTTAAGAAAAGACAAAAAAACTAAAAAGCAAATCTGTTTGTTCCATGTCAACGTTCACAAACATTCATAAGCAGGCACCATGCTAACTCTTGCCTGTACAAAAACAATGCTAGCTGCCGCTTCAACGCAGGAAGAAACGCAAATCCACGACGCTCAGAACCTTGAACCCGTTCAGGCTGCAACCCATCACAAGCCTCGGCTTCTTCGGCGCCGGTGGGCAGTGCAGAGCACCTTCAAGTCCTCCTCCTCCTCCACAGAGAGCTGTTGGCGTCGAAGCTGCTGCTTCTTCTTCCTCCTCTGAACGGGGCCGCTTCGTCTTCGCGGGATGTAGGGTTACAGCTTGCGCCTCCTGGATGGTTCTCTTGGCTAGAATTTTGATTTTCCTCTGCAAACCCATGTTTTCCTGATGAACCCCTGAGCATTGAACAGAACTAGAGATTGGTCAGCTAGCTCTCAGACTTGAGGGTGATGTGAACAATCAAAACAAAACAATAGGAGAAAGAGTTGTGCATACTAGCAGCAGCAGCAGCCTAGGCTCGTCGGAGATGTCCACGGGAGGGAATGGATATGACAGAACGACAGTGCGATGTGCATGCTTATAAGCAGTTCAGTAAAGGAAGCAGGAAAGATCCTTGCAAGGGGCTGGAAAAGGAAGAAACAGGAACGCTAGATACAGTAAATGCCAGTGCACAAGGAGGCAGAGGGCTGAGATCAAGCAATTTAGGAATCTGAGGAAGTTGCAAACGAGATGAAAAGGAGGAACCCATCAGTTCATTTGCGCTAAAACTTGTCTTCTTTCAATAACAGTAAGGAAAGATTACCAGGATGCAAAGGAAAGAGGAAAGTGCTTAATTTGCGAGAGGACGGAGGGAAGTTAGTACTGAGGGGCACGTGAGCATGAGCAAAAGTGAGCAAGAAAGAGAATAAAAGGAAAAAACAAAGAGAAAAAGAATAGCTTTGTCTTTGCTGCAAAAAGAAGATTGAAGGCCGCTAGGTATATGCAAAAAGCCAACCAGTTATAATTATCCATATTTTTGGTGTGTTTTGGAGGAATCAGCTCGATACTTTAAAGTTAAATGCAAACTTTTTGAGCTATTAAATGATACTTTTCAATTCAACTCATCTTTTCTTTTCTTCTTTTTTTTTTTTGACAAAAGGCATACACGACCCAGCTTTACTGAAGCCATACCGGGTTCTGATACAACTACACGCTGGAGACTCAACACAGCATAGCTCGCTTAGAACAAAACAGAACCGTCTATATCTAAGAAATGCCATCGATGAATACAACTTCCGGGAAATGCCATCGTACGAATCAACCTCTCCCAAAAATGCCATCACCATCACTACTCCCTTAGCTATACTCCGTTGGACATGGTGAAAAGACCATTTGCCCCATGTGAATGCTACATAATGTATCTGCAAAACTATTGTATGATACTTTGGTAAAGAGTGGATTTTCTCTTGTAATATTTGCACCAGGTAATATTCTTACTAAAACTAAAAATGAGACATTATGATATTTTCAATTTTCACACACATGTAATAGTAGCACAATTATATAGGAACTCATTTTCGAGTTCTAGACCAAAATTTGTCTAAATTTATTGAATGTCAGGAACTAAAGGGAATGGCCAAATACCTAGGCATGAACTCACATGAACACCACTATGCTCAGAACAGCACAAGCAGAACTCTAAAAAAGTGAACCTTGAAAAAAACAGGACTTCACATCAAGATAAAATCATTACAAACATCAATAATCATATATTCATAATTGAATCATTACAAATCAACACATTTCAGTGGGTAAATGGACCTATACCAATTTTTGTCAATGACAATAGAAACTTGGATTTCCTCACTTCTGGATAATATATCGCAGATGACCACCTTCAGGGACCACAGTGCTGTCGCCTGCGTCCCCCGTATCACTACCTGGGAGTGAGGCGCCACCGCCTCCAGCCTCACTTCCACCGCCGGTTGGAGTGGCCCTACCTCCTCCTCGGGCCCATGCACCATTGTCTGGGGCCACCCTAGCACCTCCTTGCGCCCCCATGCCGCCGCCTAGGAGCGCAGCATCGCAGCCTCGCCCCCCCCCCCACGCCACCGCCCAACGTAGCCCTGGCTGGGAGACCCACGCCGCCGTCGCCGTGAGGATTCACCCCACCGCTGCCATCATTGGTCGGGAGCGCCGCGGTGCCGCCGGGATCCAATCAGCTTCCTCCTAGATCGGGGCTAGGGTTAGGTGTTGTTTCCATTTTGTCGAATTTGTCTTTACTAGGTAAAAAGAAATAAAGGATAGAGTAAGTATAGTATGTACTGAGGGCACTTTGGGCTTTTCTAAAAAAAAATAAATAGGTGTAACGGAGTGGAATTAACAGAAACCAAACGGTAGTGGCATTTTTGGGAGAAGTTAATTCGTACGATGGCATTTTCTAGAAGTTGCGTTCGTCAATGGCATTTCTTCGATTAGGACACTTGTCAATTGCATTTCATGGATTTTCTCGAGAAAGAACAGCGAACTATTCTTTTTATCGCAGTCCAAGCACAAGAGATGAAATTGCCACCATTGTCATCTTCCGTGGAGAATATGGGTACCCGGTACCCATACGGTCTGCATATCCGACTATAGATAGGAGGTGGGCTGGATTCATGTATTATATAACTAGAAAAGATGCCCGTGCATTACAACGGGTTGAGCCAATTTAATTTGTACATGTGTCGGCGGCCATTGTTTCGTTTATTCATGTGCTTATCGGAATCACTTACAACAAAATAAAAGACTATTTGTGTGCAAATCTCTCATACACAAGTTCTTAGCGACTCAAAAGCAAATACTGTAAAATAAAGTACGATAAAAAAACCAAAAAGTCAAATTTAAAATTACGTTCTAAAATTTAAAACTTGGCTTATAGGAATAAGCATAAGCCAAACAATGAGGCCTTCAAACACGAGCTCGATTTGTTGCCCAGCTTTATCTCAAGTCGGGCAGGAATTGATGACGGATGGAATCAGCAACTTCGATCATACTCTATTTCGGTTGGCGTGTTCTTTTCAAAAGTAAAACTGATTCTGGATTATTGTAACGGTATCTCTGGTAGTACGTACGAGCATGTGTGGAGAGTGACTTGAAATCATGCTAACATGTCCCAGGAACCGTGTCGTGTAATATGAATAGAATTGGATAATCTGGGCAACGGCGTATGTGATATCCACATGGACTCTACGACACGGACTTTCTTTCGCAGTTCGCTCGCGAGTCATGACTTCGCAATGAATGTTACACGTAACGGAATCAGATACAGGCGACGTACCATAGTTTTCACAAAAAAGAAAAAAAATTTTAAATCACGGGTGAGGGCGACGCAGTCCCAATCGGACATACGGCAAAGGCAAATCATGCGCGCGAGGGCGTTGCCGTGCAAAGGCGCCTGTGGAAATATTCTCAGGCACGGGCCCGATTGCCGTGTGTGGCAAGGGGCGCGTGAAATGCTACGGGCCTAATTAATTTGCACGCATCTTAGATAAGAGGGACACTCTGGCGTAAGAAAAAAGGAAAGGATTTGACATAAATATAAAATTCTAGCAAAAAAATCTTCAATTTTTATAATAGTAGAGATAGAGATAAAGTATGGCTCGGTCACAATGTTGCCTTGTGTTCTATTGTAGGACCTAGAGTCCCGATTGAGTACTACCATGTAATAGATTAGCAAACTGTATCGTGTCCGGCTAGGTTTTTCTCTTTAATTTGTATCCCTGCCCCTAACCTATATAAGGTGAGTAGGGAGACCTTAAAGGGTATAGCAACATAAGCCACAGTCAGATCATCGGACCAATACAATCCCCAAACAAAAGTAATGTATTACCTCTTATTCAGAGAGCCTGAACTTGTCTAAACTCTCGTCTTTCGCATCTATCCACTTTTAGGTCTCGTGCCCTACCCCCTTATCATTGTCAATTTCCAAAATCGATAGTTTGGCACGTTAGGTAGCGGTCGCGTCGAGTTTGTTGTCGAGAAGTGCGATAGAATCAACTTCTAGAGAAGTGTTGAGATCAATCTCAACGAGTTTGATGGCTCAAATCTCTAACCTGGGTTTGTCATTCCAATCTAACTTCTATTAGATTGATATCTAAAGGTAGATTGATCTCCTGTTACTTTCTTGTTTTCAAATGCTAGCTGAGATCGAGATGAGTGGTCGTCATCCCAGTGCGTCAGCCCGACGTGCTCCTTGATGCACTCAATGCACACGCCGGTGCGGGTCACGCTCATCATGGGAACAAGGCAGGTCTACGGGTTGTGTCCACAACCTATTAACGTTAATCGCACGCGGAGCCGCCGGCAACCACGATTTAACTCGTGTGCATGTGTAATTCAACCGGCATGCATGACTTAATCACACACAATACATTGATATATGAAGCATCTATATCTTTCAGCTTACTGACGGATTGATTTTCATGATTGCTTTGTTTTGCATGTATGACGATTCAATCACCTGATAAGATCGATCAACCCACCTCCATCCGAGCTATACATGTGTTGATAACCAAATTTGACACGGGTCATGTTATAGCTAGTTTGAGCCAAATTTAGAACGGAATTGCTAACTATCGTTTGACTGATTTATGAGCCTTCCATCATTCGCATTTTTGCCGTAGGATATGGTTTTTGAGATCCGTGCTAGCATCTAGCTGCTAATTAACTAGGTCCACGTTGCTAATTAACTAGGTCCACGTTACTGTTCCCTGTTGTTAAACTAGCCGTACGTGTTTTTCAATGCTAATTTATTTATGATCCCACGCGTACTAATTACATCGTACTTACACTATAATTATATATTAATTACATATGTAATTTTAGTGTATTTACGATGTAAGTCTGAAAATTACATATATAATTTTAGTGTATTTACGATGTAAGTTTGAAATCTACTTGAGCCCATTTGAGCCCCATGAGCTTCAGATTGTCCACGTGGCTCGTTTGTTTGTTTTTTGTATTTTGTTTGTGCATATTAATGTCATCCGTTAGATGTTGATTTAAAGGGTAAGAAATGTGCATCATAGGAGGCTAAAAAATCTGTCACATGATCTATAGGCAGTAACCAAATTTGACACGGGTCATGTTATAGCTAGTTTGAGCCAAATTTGGAAACTACCAAGTCATTCCCGCGAAGGCCAGTCTAACCGCCGTAGTGTGGCTGGTCAGACCGGACAATGAGCTGTGATCAGACCGCCGGGTGGTCAGACCTTCAGCATAGAGTCAGAGTCCAATTTAGGTATTTCTCGTATTTCCTTGTTTTAGATCGGTGTTGGTATTTCTTAACGTCACAAATGCAGCACTTCACCTGGGATTATTCTTAGGTATCGATTTCCACAGGCAACGGGTATTACTTCCTTATCAGGTTCACCCAAGGACACCAAGCTAAGATGCGCAAAGGATAGAGAGGATTTCCTAGTGAGAAACATTGTCTAAGGAAAGTTTAATTTTAATCCTAACGCGATAATTCAGACACTGGCAACCCGCTGTTCCTAGATGTCGCTCTACTACATACCCTGACAGGGAGGACTTAAGTGCTCTTGAGGGCTGTCACCACCTCTACACCCACCTCAAACGTACTGTGGGATACACAACAATTACTGGATATAAATTACCTAAACACCACGTCTGAGCAATTAATATCTACTTTAGTGTTTCTAACTCACTAAAGCAATCACTATATTTTAGTCGATTATAGTGAACAATAATTCTTATAAGAGGTAATTCTCACAAGTACTCACAAGTAAATCTAAATTACTCAGAAAGATATTTCTATTGAAAACAGAGTAATTAACAGAATAAAATAAACATG